TCCCAGCATGCGCTTTCAATTTCCGCATTCCGAAAATTGTTTGCCAAAATCAAATTCAAATTACAAACCGATTTCGGCTCCTGTTCCTGGCAGCTCTTTTCCATCTCCGTCTAGTCGCGCTCCCCCTCTTTCCCGGCCTCTTTCTATGGCTGAACCTGCATCGGGTTTTCTTCTGGCCCAGACATCCGGTGGATGTGCTTGTCTCAGCCTATCCGCTGCAAGTGGCTGGAAATCTGCCTTAAATTACACATCACCAAATGCGTATCCGAAAACTGTGCTGGAATATTTAACAGTCCGCCTCCATCGCATTAGCGTCGCTGACTTGTCGCTTTGTCGACTCTGATCGCATTTTGTGCCAAACTCGCATGACAGACTGCATCGACAATTTAGCTCGCCATGGGTCTGGGGTGGGGGCTTTGGGCTTTGCACTGCAAGCGGGGCCTAATGCCCAGATTTGTGGCACCATATGTGCCAGAGATAGAATGCAATCGGCAGCTCTCTCTCTTCACGGGGTAAATATTAAACAGCACACAGCGAAAAAGAAGGGCAAGATCCGATAGGCAAGATTGAGGCACATTCAATTGATCATTTCGATTGTAAGGCTTGGCCTTGAGCTCCATTTACTTCAAGTTCTTATTCTGCTCCTTATTGCATGGCAATTTTAGTTCTCAGTGTATTTTATGTGGATTCTCGTTCTCCATCCGGAAGAGCTGTTGATGTTTGGCATTTTGCGCTTCACTTCTTTTTGGACGTGGGCGGTGGAGTCTCTGTCCCCTCTGGGGTGTTTGGTTTATGGCCGGGCATTTGGTTCGGTTTTGTGTGCGGCGGGGCTGGGGCTTGACCACCGCAAAGCCTTTTGATTTTTACTCTACGTGTGTGATCCAATGTGTGCGTGTGTGAGATTTCAATTGATTTGCTGGTGGGTGTTATCCAATTTGCAAATCATAATGCGGAATGGCAGTCGCAGGGCTGTGGCACGGATCATTATGGGGTCATCAGATGTGTGAATGTTTGATGGAATGTTTTCAGTCGGTGGCCATTAAAGCCTTTCGTTTAAGTTGGCTGGGGCTAAGAGTGGCCGGCCTTAACCTTTGCACTTTCGTTGGCAGCTGGCACAAAATGCTTGTAATTTGCTTGTTTCTCGGCACTTGAATTAGATGGGCACACAAATGCAGCTGGGCAGCTGTGCAGCTGCGAATTATACCCAAGCAATCGCTGGGCATGTATGGCAGAATGTCAGCCTACGAATTGAACTTATAAGAGCTGCTGCAGAACCACTACAAGGTCTCGAAGTGTATGCAATCGCTGGCAAATAGTGGGTGTCTTGCAGTCGGTATGTTGCATTTTTTCGCGTATGTTTTTTGAGATGGTTCTCCTCTGTCCCCATGTCCTTGCAGCTGCCACACTTGTCAAGTCGTTTGCTTGGACTGTGCAAACAAAATGAACGAGGAGCCTGGCAAACGAGGAAGACTAGTGAATGCATTAATGGGGATGCTCCGCCTTCGTCTCCTCCAGATGCTGCTGCTGCTGCTCCTCCTCCTTTCGCATCTCTTCATATAAATGTGTGCGTGTTTGGGTTGGTGTGTGTTTGCCGCTCTTGACATTGCCCTGGGTGCAAGGGGGCTTTAGTGTTTATGCCGTGACATGGGGAATCCTTCAACCTGAAGGGTTCTCGCTGTCGCTGTCGTCGTCTTTGATTGCGCGCCTCTCTCTTGGCCAGGCCCCAGCCAACCGTCTTGGGCTCGTTAAGTGCCGCCTCCTTATGGCATTTCATGCTATTTTAGATGCATTTGAATAAATAAACAGCCATAAGCCAGCGGCAGCCATAAAATGCTTATGACGTGTGCAAATGTTTGTGTCTGGCCTCATTAGGAATTGAAGTTGGGAAAGCACATGGCCGATGGAGATGCCGGGCTGGGGAGCGGCACAATGCAACTACATTAGTCGGTTAATGCATTTTTAATTCACAATCCAACATCATCGTCGCACCGCACCGCCCGCAGCTGTTAAAATGGAAGTGAAATTGCCTTAATTGAGTGGATTTGCATTCGAAATCTGACACAAACAAAGCCCAAAGAATCCCCAAGTCGATTGCCACAAGGTGTTTAACAAGTCGAATGCCCTTTTCGTATCCATAGAGATAGAGTTAGAGAGAGAGCGAGAGAGTGAGAGTGAATTTTAATTGATTGCCCATCAATTATGTACACGGCAAGTGTTTTCTGGGAGGGCAAAGGCTTAAGCATACGTGTGGTATGCGTGATATTTCACTGTGCCTTTGATTCACTTCCTGGAAATCTGCGTAAATGCTTGAATGCCCCAGTGGCAGAACTATAATATTTGCATATGAATTGGCTTTAGCTCTCCATGCGCTGCCGTCCCCATATATTTCTCTCAATTTCTCTCTGTTTGACTGTCAAATGCTGAGCAAACATGGCAAGGACTCTCATCTGACAAGGAAACAAGTGGCAGGCCCACCACTCGACTCTAGCTTTGACACATTGAGTGGAAGCTATGCAAATAAATAAATGTAGATTGACTTGACAGGCAGAATATTTACATACGAGCTAGCTGTACAAGGGGAAAGCCAGAGTGGGGTGAAGGCAAACACACAAAACTAATTAATGGAAATATGCCCATCTCATTGACAAATGCCAGAGTCGGAGATACGACTGCACATGTATCACTTTGGACTCTGACTCTGACTGTGACTGTGAATGTGACTCTGCCGCTGCTCTGCCGGTCCGCTGAGTCGCATAATTATAATGAATCCTTTTTGACAGCTAACTTAACCCTAATTTGTGCCAACTCGCATTAGCTCTGGCTGTAAACACACCAAGTCGTTGTCTTCCATTGTGCACCTCATGCAGGTGCGAATGCTAAAACTCGGAATGTCTGCGCCTGCTAATTAAGCTCCAAAATGGAAGCAAAAACGCGACTATTCCTGCATTGTTGCTGCAACTTTTGTGCATAAACTGAAGCAGATGGCGACTGCTCCTCCTCCTCCTGCCACTACCTTAACCTCAGCCACTGACTCTGCTGCTCTGCCTCAACTTTTGAATACCAGCCTCACACACACACACTCACTGACACTCGCCTCCCGATGCGGGCAAACTCTCGCGCGGTGCAAAAGCTTCAGCCCTGACCACATTTTAATTGGGCTAAGCACACGCCATGTGCTCCGTCCTGGCCATGTGTGACATGCTATTAGTGAAACTTTTAAATGAGTTAGTTAAGTAAAGCGGGTTACGTTATTATGCGTTTTCGGCTCGGACATTACAAAAGCTTGTCCTCTCCCGCCCCTCAGTTTTGTTTGCGCCAAGGTACGAGTACGAGTACCAAGAGTGCTATGCTTTTTATTAGATGTTTGCAATGCAAGTACAAGTTTATATCAAAGTGTATGCAAAACTTCGACACTTTCCTGTAGCTTAGCAAAGGATTGCACTTGTCGGCAGGATGTTGGGTCTCATGATGCAAACTGATGGAATAGTTTCTCAATCTGCTGGGGATTGCTGCTTCGTATTATTGTTAGCATTTATACATAATTATCTTTTAATTAATTTAATTTTAATTTAGAAGCAAAATAAAACAAGCAGCTAACAGAGTTTTCTCCAATATTTAATTGCATCTAATTTTACGTAGAAACGTTTAAACATGTTGTTACTAATTAGATTGTAACTATGTGTCTCTTTATCCACAACAAAGATTAGTTGCAAAAATCAGTTTCAACCAGAAAAACATTTTTTGTTTGTTTGTTTGTTTTTCTTTTGTCCGAACCCTGATGGAATCTATTTAGTTTCTTTTCTATGTCGTTTTGTTGGGCAGAACGGCTAAATGCCAAATTTAATGCAACATTTTCTATGGCTTTGCCCTGCGCTATTGTGTTTTATTGGGCCAAAGATTATTCCGGTAATTATTTGGGCTAAGTGGGCGCAATCAATTTTCAATTAGTCGCATGCAATACGACTCGTAATTTTGTATACATTTCTTGGCACAAAAAAAAAGGAGGAGGCTGTCATTGGTAATTATTGCAAATTATATGGCGCTCGTATCGGCTTATGTATGGGTTTTGCTTGCAGTAATGCCAATCGAAAGTACTTGAAAGAAACAAAGGAATAAAGGAATTCAGGATTCCAGGAGTCCAGGAGCAACAGAGGGGAGAGAGAGATCGAGAAAATATTATTCAATTACGAGCCATGTCTCAGCGGACAATGGTTACGACGGACATAACGATGGGCCGCCTTCCCATAAATATCGCACGGCTCCCTTTCAGCCATGCCGTAAATTGAAGTAATAACCATCATGTGGCCTGTGGCACTGTGGGCGGCATAATAGTTGCTGTCTTTATGTGAATGTTTCAGCATTGATTTCGAAATTAAACGGAAATACGAGCATGTACAAAACTGTGGGACACGTAATGGAATTCCTTCTGAGGCCGCTCTTTTCTCGTTACCTTTTTTCTTCGCCTGTTGGGCATTCCCGATCGATCTGTTTGACTTGCACGCTGGCTTACCGTCACTTTTTGAGCTGCTCGCTTGAAAAATCAATGGACAGTTTAGTTCCCCTTGAGCCCCCGCACAATTAGCAAAAGAGCCGGCCCTGGCCCTGGCCCTGGCCCTTGGGGGCTGCCACCTGGGCATGGCCTGCATTGATAAAGTGTCCCACCCAGACGGTTTCCGTCCGGAAATTTGCATAAAATTCAAATAAAATAAAACGACAAGCCTTATAATCATTAGCCAGCATCCATGTCGGCTCTCCTGGGTGCAATGTGTGCCTGCTGCTGGACAGTGGGCGCAAGAAGCCTGCAACAGGGAGCGTCCCCTCCCCGCCCATCCACCAGCGAGCTGACTTATTTATGGAGTTTCCATGCTAACGAGGCGCAGCCAGTAAATTAATTTAGACCATGAAAAATATACACATATACATAACATACTTTTCGTCTATTTACAGTGCGTTACATAATTGTAGGTCCATCTGGAGTGAGTTATCGTTCCCCGCCCCCCCTAGAACCCGATCCAATCCTGCAGCGCCACCTTCTGCTGCTCAATGTGTTCGCCCATCTTCTGGGTCATGGCAAACTGGATGAGAATGAGCAGATAGTTGACCAGAATCGAGACAAACTGGAAGCAGAAGCAAGCGAAATTGGATGGTGATTCCGGAAGGACAATCCAAGCGATACCCACCAGAGTCAAGACCGTTCGATTGAGGAGAATGTCCAAGCCGATGGTGAATTGCTGGCGGGACTGCAGACGCCAGCTCATTAGAGAGTTAACCAGCTGCCGCATGGCGGGACTGCTGGGGTACCAGTTGTCCAGGTGCTCGATGAGGCGCAGGCACCGCCGGGCCTCGAGCACCGTGCGCTCGCAGTAGAAGGGTGCGATGAGCAGCTTGTAGAGAGGAGCGGCCATGCAGAGGGCCACGTAGCCGAGCAGAACGCGGCTGCCTTTGTGCTGCTCCAGCTTCAGCTTCCGGTCCGTTTCGTTGTGTTCGAGACCGCCCTCCATGTTGGCCACGCCCATGCCGAAGATGATGTAGAGCTCGCTGGTGCTGATGGCCAGATCGTGGGCCATCGACATCCACAGAACGAAGGCGAACACCCCATTGATCTCCGGTATGAGCTGATGGAGCTCCTGGACCATGGCCACGGCCTGTCGGATGCGCTGCTCCCTGAGCTGCCGCTGCGGGAATCGCCACTCGAGGAACCTTGGACAGAGGAGCTTCTGCAGCAGCCGGAAGCGGATGGAGAGCATCTCGACGAGACTCATGTGCACGTAGCCGGTGAAGTGGGGTCCGCCCGTCACGAAGACGTAGCAGTAGGCGGACAGCAGGAACAATGTGCGCTTGCCGCTGGCCATCTGGATCACGGCGCTTGTGATGGCCCCCAGGTAGAGCACGGTGACCGACACCAGCACCACAATGTTCTTCCTGAGCAGCTTCCGGTAGTTGAGATTGGCCCCGAAGTCCCGCATCAGAAGCGTATCCATCGCGGAGAGGCGCACATAGATGCCCTGGTGGCGGCGGGCGGCTGCCTGCAGGGACACCACCGCCACCATAAACACCAGCGTGGACATGACCACCTCCAGGGCCGCAATGCTCAGCACCATCGTATCGGCAGCCGCCATCCGCCTGCGGATCTCCTCGCTCCCCAACAGTGCGCTCAGCGAGACGAACAGCATGAGGACCGTCAGCCCTGCCAAGCCCAGCGAATAGATCCTTCTCCAGCGGGTAATAGCGAACCCGGAGCCCCGTCCACTGAACCCATTGCAGCACATCACGAACTGCAGGCCGCAGATGAAGCTGGCGCAGTCATAGAGGGTCTCTGGCTCCCGGAAAAAGTACAGCACCGCCATTGAACGGAAGAAACCGAACTGAAGTTGTTATCCTTGCTGGCAGTTCTATTGTTGATATTAACGCGTCTAATTGTTGCCAGCGAGAGCAATTAAGTAATTGCTTTGATTTATTTGTTTGATACCATTTTAACATGAACATTCATAAAATACTTATGTATAATGAAATGAATGTATCTTCCATATCCATATCTCATGCCTTTCCAGAAATTAGGAATAGCCTCAGGGCTCAGCTTCGAAGGGAAGCAAAGAATCTCTGGGCCAAGTTGAAGTCCGAATTTTGCAGCTTAATTACATTGTACAAAGAAAAACACACATATATTTATGTTTCATTTATGCGTATTAAATGCAAGAATAAATGGAATTAAATAGAATTCATTTTTGATTTGAATCCAAACATTAAAACACTTTGAAATCAAATTATCATATTAAATGATTGGAAATATGTTCCATTAAATTATGAAAATAAATTAAATAGCAAATTGATTTATTTGAAGTAGTTACATATACTATTTCCACTCTTTGAGCAAATAAATAGCCTTACATTTCCTAAGTCCAAGCGTAAATATTAATATTTGCATCAAGAAATGTTTTGCGAGTATCCAATTAAATTCCCAAAAATTGCCTAAAAGTAATTGTAGACTGAAAATATCTCGAAAAGTGACATTGAACTTTAATTTGTGGCTGCCACTTGCAATATTTTCTGCACTTTGCAATAAATGAAAATATATTTGACTATATTTCAGCAACTAACGACAAAGAGAGAGAAAATAAATTCAGAATAAAAGCCGGTATCCATGGGGATTTTGGCAAGGCGGCGTAAAAGTACCTGGTGACAGGCCTCAAAAGCGTTTGATCGGCTTCAGCCCAGAGTTTATGGAATGATTTACTACTGGTGGTGGGAGGGAGGTTGTCGGCTTTAATTAATAAAACTTGATTAACGGAAATTTTATGATTGTCCAAATGGCAACGGGAGGCAATCAATCATTGCCTCCGCCCGTTCAACCGTTCGTCCGCTCCTGTCCTCCCATCGCTCCTGTTCATTATTTTGCATTAAGTATTTATGAAATTCCCCAAAAGAACCGTCACCAAAGGACAACTGGGAAGAGAAAAAGTGTAAAATTAATTAGGCCCACGACGGCTGAACCCGGTCGAACTGGCGGTCGGGCCGTCAAATGGTTGCAAATGACAACAGAAAGAGTCCGAGGCAGAGCCAGTTAATAAATTGTTTGCTGCACATTTGTGGTTCAATGCACATGGAAATTTAAATGAAAAGCGGACACATTAATTATTCGCAACTGTTGATTTTCTGGCTGATTAACCTCTGGAAGCTTAGTTGCGAAACAAACGCCATAAATAAAATCTAAGTACTAACAAATGCCATTGACTGTTGGGAATACCCTGCCACAATGTAATGGGTAATGGCTTCATTTGTGGCTTAATTCTATTTGTTTCCGATCATCCAGGACAGGGACTCTCCATGCCCAGGCATAGGGCAGTGGCAATTAATTTGAATGCATATTTAATTTATTACCATTTATCGTTTTCCGCATCACTGCATTTCGGGCAACATATGCACCACAGTCTCGCTTCAAATACTGACCCCAGCCAAGTACAATCGATCGATTCTAGCAAGGGCTTTGGCCAGATAACTTTTCCATCCACTTTCAAAGCTATATCCTGGTTTACACCACACACTGCTTTGACAGCTGGCTAACTGACTGATGGACCGACTGATTGACTGGCCAACATGCTCAAAAGCACAGCAAGACATAAACACAAAAAAGAAAATCCAAGCTCCTCTTCTCGGCCCAGATGGATTCAATTAGCGCTAATTTAAAATGCCAACACACATACAGAAGTGGGTAGAGCGGCTGCCAGGCATAACAGAAAAAGGCGAATTTCCCAGCCAATTTTCCACATGACCCCCGTCAAAACACGCTTGTCAGCGGTTCAAGTCCTGACAATTGAAGGGAAAACAACTTCTAGCTGTCGTCCAAACAAGCTTTGATTGGGGACAATAACTGAATCATATCGAATGGCAAAAGGTCGAAGTTGAACACATCAAGCAAAAACACTAAAAATAAATGTATATTTATTCGAATGTTGTTCATTCTACTTTTAAGAGTATTTGCACTCCTTTCGGGGTTCAAAACATCACGAAAAGGAGACCTGCTGCAGGCGGCGAAACGGAAACCCATTTGCAGAGCATAGCAGGAGTGCGTGTGCTCTTAATGCCACACACAATTAAATTAAATAACACCATAATTAATTACCGGCCACACAAACACTCTAACACTCGCACGAGACTTGATTTGCTAGCCCAAAGGAAGGTGCTAATGTCCAGTCGCATACATTATGGATGCGATGCGATTCGGTGGGCGGAAGTGCGTCAGCGTGAGGGAAATAAAGAATGATTTATGGCGCTAAGCCAACTAAAGTTCCGCACAGTTTTGTTTCGTTCTACGCATGTTCTTGTTCTCACAATTAGACATTAACCCCCCATGCCGGGGAGTTACAGTTTCCCAGTTCCAGGCACATAAATCGCATCGTAAATAAAAACGCTACCATCACAATGGAGCCATCAACTTTTGATGCAACTTATAACCATATTTGGCCGTAAGCGCACTAATGGGCCGGCATTGATTGGATATATCGAATACACTTAAGAGGCGGCGACACATCAACTGCCCGAATGTCTGCCCATCAAAGCAAAGTGTCATCACTGGAGTGTCTGTGGCAGCAAAAGCAACAGCGACTACGGATGCGGCAGGGGCAATGTCTCGTAATGCACAAAAGGCGTTTAATGTTAACGAGCAAATGGTCCTCAAGTAACTGCACTCCTTTTCGTTGCCCTTTATAAATTGTGTTATCCATAAAGTTGATAAGTGTATATACATATACATTGATATATATATATATATACTGGTAGTTATATGTTCAAATACACTCGCGCAAAAGGCGCGAAAAACTTCCAGCAGAATTGAACAAAATCGTTTAAATGGAGAAAATATTTGTAGAATTTATTATAATTTTATTTATCACAGGGCAATCTGATTAATCGGACCCTTTCCCTGAGTGTACACTTGAGGTTTATCATCGCGGCTGCTTTATCTCGCGCAGCTGCTGAAATATGCCCACGTCCGCCGCTGCTGCTGGTGCCAGCGAGGGGGCTTTGGTGCTCCGTGCCTCGTGCTATCTGGCTGACCCTGCTATCGCCGCATCTTTCCGGCCACACTGCTGCTGCTGCATGTTCTGCTATTTGGCTGCTGTTCCCGCTGCTGTTGCACAGCATAAAATCCACTCAGCCATGCCACATAAAACCCGCAAAAAAGGCGATGAAATTATGGTGCCTGCTCATTGTGTTGGTGGAGGTGTAGGAGCATGGCGAACAAGGAACCACGAACATTGGCCCAAAGCTGCACAGATGCCCTGCATTCCACAGCGGATGCGATGCAGTTCCAGGGGGAACTGTACGAGACATGTCTATACAGATGTCCATTAAACCCTAATTCCTATCCTGATGTACCCCCCCACTGATGGCATGGTGAAAGAGAAGCCATGGAGATCTGCACCCAACAGAAGCTGGTGGTAAGTGAGGCGAGAGTAGAGCTGCAAAAGTCAAGTCATTCCACACGATGGGCATATTTTTGGTGCTCCATCCTGGGCGCTGGGAGCTATTGCAGACATTCCCGACAATGTCAGAACTGATTAACGAGCTGCAAATGATTTTATGCGCATCGCCCGCTGCCACAGCGTAAATCACAAACAATTGCAAGGCAAGGCGCTTCATAATGATGCTAATGATTATGTTGATGGGGCATTGTTCGCGTGCGCAGACAGCTCGGCATTCATTTCACTTGTTGCCTCTGTTGCAGCTGTTGCACAAATGTTTGACACTTAAGTGTGCGCAAAGAAATGAGAGAAGAAAATAAGAGCGAGAAAACGGATAATGGGAATGGGAGGATAGTTCCCAATCCCACGAGGAAGCCAAAAACTTCCCAGCCAATTGGCAGATGTCAGCTTTAAGCCATTTTAAAAAGCAAATGTCTGACAAAGCTGCAAGTAAAACTTTTTATGCGCCACTTTGCTTGGCCATTCACAACTTGTACGTGGCAAATAAAGCTGCAGCCGGGGACTACTGCTGTCGCCTTCAAGGAGTACACGTACACCCTCTGCACACACCCACACAATATTCCCGGCTCTGGTTTGCTCTTAAGTATGCAGTTGCAAGCCATAAAATCAGTTTAAGACTGCCGCCCTAGACACCGATTATCTGGGAAGCATCAGATTAGATACATTAGATCATTCCTTTGCCTTCTATGCTTCCGCCCGATTCAGTGGCTTGATCAATGCCGATTGAATCAGAAACCCTGACCGATGCAGCTCATAAGCTGATGGACAGAAAGCTGAACAGAATTGATGGATGAACGGGCACACAAACGCGAGTACTTGATAGGTCGAAACTAGAGAATGGAGGACCAGAATGGACCACTGATGGACATCTGTTTAAGCGTGTGCCTAATTTGCAAACTGACAGAGGAATACTCGTAGGGGAAGAGACGGAAATGATGATGGACAGATGGATGGACTGACTAGGACTCAAACACTGGCAGACGGCATCCCGTATGGAAAGCATTCGACTGATACTCGTACTTCGTTTGCTATTGTGCTTATGCCATGATACTCGTGCCACCCCAAGGGCATTAACAAAACGAAAAATTCAGAAATGCTAACGAGGAGAAATGTTTTGGCACTGTCGTAGACCAGGTTACATAAGACTCGTGGCCAGGGGACCAACACGTTTGGGTTCACCTTGTGACATGGTTCGATTTGCAGGTCAGCTTCCCCCTGAGAATATTTGTTTGTGTTGTCTTGTTTGCAGCTTCCAGCTGAATCTGTGAGAGAAATGAATATCTCGGAGACCCCACTGAGCAAAGTTTGCTTTCGCCTTCAGCGCTGCTCATTTGCCAGGTTTCCATATTCATATCTGGCAAAGTGAAAGTGCTTGATTAGGAAAAAGAAACATACGAAATGGGCTGTCTATAATGGGAATATATGTGCATATGCCTGTGATGAGTAATTACCAGCCTCGTCGGTGATTAGTGAATATGCAAATGGATTCTTAAGACTGGACCCGGGCATATAAATCAAAGTGGAGGACAGTCGAGTCACTGATGCCGAAGATGAACACCAGCCACAAGTTGATGTGGCTGCTCTTGCTGCTGCTTGGCCACACATCAGGTTGTGTTAGGACGCGGGTCCTAAGTTCAGCAAGTCCATCAACTAATGGGTTTCCCTTTTCTTTTTTTTTGATAGCGCGGCATCTGACACTTCGGCCCCTGAGTCGCGCTGAGGTCCACGAATTGGAGAGCTCTCTACCCCTGGGACGATCTGTGCCCAGTGGCTTTGCTGCCTTGACAGGCTTTGCCCTAGGCCTGGGAAAGGCCCTGACCGGCGTCTTTATATACGACGTAATCACAGCCAACGTAACCGACATCGAAGAGAGCGAAAGTTCAGCCAGCGAGAGCGCAGTTAGAGAGATCTGCTTTGACACGGGAAGATTTGGGAACGACTTCGATGTGGAGGAGGGAACATCTTTCAAGAGTTCTAATGCCATGACCACCTGTATTGTTTATTATAAAAACCGATGACTGTAATCTGATCAAACTGGTTGGGGAGGCTGCACGCTGTCAGAGGTCAGAGTCTATTGCTTTTGGTATTGGTTGCTTGGTATTTGCATATGCAAAACGATCGGCTGAACTTTCTTTGTCTTCTCTCTGCGGGGCATAAAAGTCGGGCAGAACTTGGCGAATGTTTCAGTTGAGTTTCTGTGCGGCCGAGTGAAAGATCATCGAGAAAATGAAATTGTTTGGGAACTTTGGGGCATTCTGCCTATCCATCATCCTCGTGGCGGGCCTCAGTGCAGGCGTTGAAGGTAAGAGACATCGGCTGAGAGGAAACGGAACCGTTTAATGATCTTGTTTGATCTCTGTAGCTCGTCGGTTGGTGCTGCGTCCGTTGTCGTCGCGAGAGCTGCTCGCTGCTTTGAGGGAGTCTGGTCTGGATGAGAATTCCGAGGCTGGGAGATCGATTTCCTCGGCTGTGGCCGGAATCACAGGATTCGCCCTGGGCATCACCAAGGGCGTGGGTGGCTCTCTACTCTTTGATGTGATCACCTCGAATGCCACCATCCAGTATGTGACCAATCTGCTGAACACCACCTCCTCCTCAACGACGGCCAGCAGTGGCACCGCCCAGGAGATATGCTTCAACAGCCGCAGTGTCGATGGAGAGGCCATCAGTGGTCGGAGCCGCAGCAACAACAGAGTTTCCAGTGATGATTTAATCTATAGCGATGAAATTAGCTCAGAGCCGTCCGGCGAGGAGCGACAGCTGGGCACTGGAACTGGGTCATCCGGGGGCGTCACCTGCATTGTCCTCAACTCTGGAGTCAGGCGGCGCCGTCAGCTTGTGGTGCGACCTGGGGCGACCACAAACAGCCGCAACAACCGCAACCTCAACCGAGCCCGACGCCAGTCGAAGCGGCGCGTCGACCAAAGGGTTCGCTGAACCCACTCTTAGGACTTAGTCGACCCCTAACCTACTTTAAGCTATCACTTATTTATTGATTTCGATTAGTTTATTAAATTTTAATTGTTCCGCACGGGGGCTCTGTGTTATAAATGGTCGGATGACACGGGCAAATTCTGCATTGACATATTTTATGATTTGCTGACATGCACTCTGACGACGGGTTACACTGGACGAAAAAGCGAGTGTACCTTAAGGTAGTAACACAATCTGACTTCTCAATAAAAAATAAAATCTCCATCGATATTTAGTTGTAGTTATCCCTTGACTTGGAATATGTGAAGGGCAGTTTCTGTTTGCTCTTTCTTTGTCTCAGTGCAGGGAATGTGCCTGGGCGTGGGCTTTTAGATTTCTCTTTCAATGCATATGTGCCCACACACTCACACATAGACTGACTGACATTTGCAGCGTCACGCACATCGAAGTGCCAGAATGGTTATTAATACAAAAAGCCACGCACGAAGCATGCCAAACACACACACACACAGGAAAACCATTTACTCAGCCTCTGGATTTCGTTTGATTTTGGGCCTTATGTAAACATTGAAATGTCATTGCCGTCGAGGGCAGTGGCCCGGGCACATAAATCCTCCTTGGCCACAATTTATTAACTTTAGCACAAGCCAATGTCAACGGCTCCCGATGTCTTCCACTCCTCCAGTGCTTGGGGTTTTCGCTTATTGATTTGGATGCGAAATTTATGTGGTTAAAGGACCTCCACCCTGGTCTTTGTCTCACAAACTATTAACGTTGTCCCATCTGAAGCTTCTTCTTCGGCTGCCCTCCAGTTGTCCAAATGCAATGTTTATGTTATTGTCTGAACCGCAGACTTCTCTGGCCATCACTCCGCCTTGGCCTAGACAGGAATTGCATTAGGGATCATTTATTATTTATGTTAATGTCTTGAAAGTTCTGTCAGAGTCGGAGTCGGAAAGAGTGGTTGATGTGATTAAAGTGTGTAGACTATTAGGATGGGATAGATGGAGGGAGAGAAGACGAGGAAATCATCACAGAAAAGAAAACCAAACTCAAATTAACATATCTCTGATTCGGCCAAACTACCGTTTAGACTTTGTACGTATCTGATCCGATTGTTCACAAACTCGTATGGGCCACACACACTGAAAGAAAGTAAGAGATGTTCGAGTTCTGTTGGAAATGTGTAAAAGAGTAAGAAGAGTTGTTACGTACTCCATTCCAAATAATTGTTGTTGATTGATTTAAGGTTGTCCCAACGTGTTCTCAGTGTACCAGCATATGCATATACAGTTTTGGTATGTTCATAGGAGAAAAACTACAATTATTTTGCACTTCACCCATACAGTGGCAGCCTAATGACCAAGGCCGTGACCATGACCCCCTCCCCAGAGGAGCAGTTGCTGTTTGGCCACCCCCCTTTCTATGTTCTAATCCTATTGCTGGTCCCCGCTTCAAACGGCAGGCACTTTCCCCTCTTGGAGCAGAAATTGCGTACTAAATGCGCTAAATTACTAACTAAATGACGCAAGTGCCGCCCCTGGGCATGCCTACAATTTCACAAATGAACGCCCTTTTGCGAGTCGTGGAAGAGCTGTTAGGTTGGGAGCGGCAGGGCAGGGCAGGGCAGGGCAGCCAAAGACAAAGCTAAAGCTAAAGTCAAAGCAAAAGCGAAAGCCAAAAACTGCCGACAGTCGATGACATTTGAGCGATAAGAAAAACTGTTGTTGTGTGGCTGGCTTGCTTGCTTTTGCTCTTCGCCCTCTCTCCCACCCACTATGCGACGGGTAGTGAGGGTGTATGTGGGCAATACAGGGTTGAGGGCAAGTGCTCTCCTGCAGCTGTTTACTCTACTTGCGGTGGTTTGTTCTACGAGTATACCCTTGCAGAGGCTATGAGTTCTAGCAGACGTTTTTGACCCATCAAGGAATACATTTTCAATTCCAAAATGAATGTAAGTGCACACATTTTAATGATGAGCAAAAACTAAAATCTTGTGAATAAAGAAAATCAGTAGCTATTTGGCTTTTAAAGATAATACCAAAGCGGCAATTCAAATGCAAGGGTATCCCAAGCTTCGGTTGCCAATGCTTTCCTTTCATGCTTGTTATTGTAGTTGCTTTTGGTGTTAAGTATGCAGGCGAGGCGTGTGAATTGTGAAGGAAGTGAAATACAAACACAAATACACATAGTAAATGCTGTTTTTGTTCTTGCTTCTCCTGCTCTCCTTCGCTCTCTCTCTCTCTCTCTTACTGTCCTCTTGTCTTTGCAAGCATTTTTACAGTTATTTTTACTACATTGAAAATTGCTTTAAATGTTAATGTTGCTGTTGTCGCTGGGCTGATAATAAAATAAGGCGCTTCCAAAGAATACGGTGCGTGGAAGGTGGGGTATGTGTGTGTGCATAGGTCCCCGAGCACACAAATAATTGAGATGTTTTGCACCCACTCACCCTCTCCTGTGGCCGTAAGTGTCGTCACACACGCAGCCCGCCCATTTACCATTCCCCTCCCTCTTCAAACCAACGGAACAGAGTCAGCTGTAAAGAGAGCGCGCACTCGTGTTAAATTATGCGGGTTTGATTTTTATTGCAGTGCCGCTCATTTCTTTTCCCCTTTGTGTTTGTATGCTCCGCTTTGGTTTGCGTATGTTTTTGCTTTGGTTGGGTTTGGTCCCCTTTGCTTTATGAGATCTACTCTGAACAGCGGGGGGGCTATAGAACGAAAGAGACAGCGGAAAGCAGGTAGAACACTCAGGCACTTTCGAAATCAAAACAAGTTAACGGGAGCGAAGATAAAACGAATAAAGAATACCCTTGACAAAAAAATGCACTTAAATGCAGTGAGAAAATATCATATAAAACCCACAGCTAATAGTTTACGATATTTTGAATTTTCGACAACGGGGAAAAGTAAAAAAAAAACTGCGAACAAAGTGCATCTGTTGCCTGGATGTGTCAAATGCTAGTAAATGACTCACATGCTGTTCAATATACATTCCAAACGGGTACATATTATCATTTGAAAAATCGTGTCCAAAGTTTATATAAACAAGTTGGGGCGTGATGCTCGTTGAAAGAGAAAAGGACGTGAGAGCGTGTGTGCGGCTGTAATTTGGCCATGGCTCGTTGCCTTGACAAGCTGTTGCCTGGCATTTCAATTAATGGCACTTTCCACCCTCGCGCCAGGCCCTCCAAAGGGTCATCACTTTCACCGCTGCACTCCTAATGAAGCCATCTCTCTCCAGCCCTCGAACGACGAGCGGCACTGGATCCGGAAGTGCTTGGCGTTTTTGGGTGGAAGTCAAGAGGAAGCGCGAGATACGACGAGTATCATTGCAGCTCCATGGTGACACGTGACCGCAAGGAAATCGGCTCAGACGGGGTCCCGGTCCCCTAAGACTCTTAATAGATTTTTGATTTGTTTGTTCACCCCTAACCGGCACGCCGCACCAGCACCCAGCAGCCAGCAGCCAGCATCCAGATCCATATCCGAACTGGAATCCGAATCCAATTGTGAGTCGCGCGTGCGTCTCTGATTGGAATAATGATGTGCCAAAGGAAATCCGGACAGAAACCAAAACAGATTCGCCGCATTTATGGGTAGCGACTCTAGTGTGTTTGTCAATATATAAAAAATCAATACAGAATATTATTTTTACCACCCCAGTCGCATGTTAAAGCAGCCGAATAATTCAATAAAGAAATCACCCAAAGGCCGAGACGGTCCGAGGGTCCTGGTCCTGGAGTCTGTGCTGGCCCTGCTACTGGTCCGGCTTCTGCTCGAGCTAGGTAAATGGATTGCTCAAGGCTCTCAATAACGAAGATTAAAAGCAAAACCTGAAAGTTTGTCTGCTCTTTTCTGCTTGTGGTGGGTGGGGGGGTGTATTTTTTGGGCAAAAATTGTACAAATTGTTTCAATTAAAAAGTTTACAAATTTTGCTTTTTCGCCTTTTACTTTATCTATAATCGGCTTGCGATTGACACGTGCCTCCAACTGCCATCTCCCTGACCAGATGGTACAGTGAAGAGGCTCTACAGAGGGCGGTCTCGGTTCCAGCATTATGTGTGACTTTGTACACTCAACTGCGCTTTCACTGTGTTCATATTGAAGTAATATGAAGCATTCGAATGGGGGTAGGAGTGGGTGTCGCTAATTACCACGACCTTGGGTGATTTATAAGTTGAAAACATGATTGCATGAGACAGTCGCGACGCCAGTGTGACAGCGTGAAAGCCAAGGATAGCGGGGGTGCCAATTAATTTAATTTAATCAGCTAGAAAAGTTTTGGCCAATCTGCAAATACATTCCACATTCACTCTAATTAATTTAATTGATTTAATCGCTTCGACTTGACCTATGTGGGTCCATCGAATGCATTTGATCTGTTTGTTTGCACAAAATGAAATTGACTTGTAATTAAAAGTTTCGCAAATTGATTGAAAAATTCTCCTTTCCACCTACACACTCACTCTTCTTATGTGGGTGTGAGTGTGTTTTTATCACTGAGACTGAACGTCTCTCTGCGTCTACGTGTGTTTGTGCGGGTGCGGTGTGCCCGGGTCCCAACAATAAAACCGCGAAGGGGATACCGAATGAAAAAAGGCTAATTACGGGCATTAATTAAAAATGCATTTTTTGTTGACCAATTGAACGGAGGAGAACTTCGAGGAGACCAGCAAAACCAACAGTTTGTTTTGTGCCAACGCTCATTGCGGGGGAAATTCTCTCTTAGTAAACGACTGGTATAAGAGTTGGGATCTCTTATACGTGTGCGAGCGTCCGTGCTGCTTAACTGACCTACGGCAGGACATAAGTATGAGTTCATATGGTTTTTGCATATTGACGGTAGAACTTGTTGGCCTACTGAGACGATTGTTCAACCATTCTTCGCGGTAAGAAGAAAATTTCCATTCAAATAAAACGGCATTGAAGTTAATGGTTACTTAAATACGTGAACATCAGCACAGCCGAGCCAACATGCATATAATGAACAGGCAAATAATACTATTGGGATTACTTTTCGATTGTAAATATAAAATACAATTACATGATGTTAATAATTATGAATGTATGAATTTGAAAAAAGGTGTTCCAAAAAGTAGAATCCAGTTAAAGATCCCTTTAAAGTACATTTAATAAAGAACTGCCGAAATTTCAGCCAAGTACCGAAGTCTTGTACTCCCATAGAAAGTATATGCCAGAATGTAAAGATATATTTGCAAAATACTTGCAAGCTAACCTAGGCAGAACAATCGAGTGCATAGGCAGGCAATGCCCTTACAACAAATAAAAAAAAAACAAACACAAAATATAAAAAATGTTAATAGCTTCACTTGAAAGTTGCCTCGCAATTTCGTGCTCCAATAATCTGAATTCTAAGAGTTCTCTGGCTCTCTTCGGGGCGCTCTCTTTTTTTGGGGGGACTGCCGAGTGGGGCACGACGACGAGTGGCATGCGACGAGGCATGCCGCATTCGTTCTGCCGCATGGGGCTCACGACCACGACTGCCACTCGCCTTTCAGTTCCATCCTGCGACTCGGAAGCGAAGCACGCGTCTCTTGATTTATGGTGCGCGGTCATCAGTTCTGGCCAGACTCAGATTCAGATTCAGATTCACTACTACCGAGTGCCAAGTGTTCCCCAGGCCTAATGAGCCCATTTGCGTGTTAATGGCGAATTAATGACCGGCGATTAAAATGCAATAATCGCCTGCATAGTACCCTACGAACGAGCCTCTACGGTTCGCTTACTTTCAAGTGAAACAGTGTCTGTCTATAGAGTTCTGTGATCCAAGGAGTTCCCTTAGAAATAACATAGACACTGTGCCCCGGGAATGTTGTGGAAAACTTCAGCCGAAGAAGATTAAAAAGGAAAAACAGTGCGAAAAAACGGAAAATACGGAAAAAAGGAAACCCTCGCCGAAACAAGCAACACTTTCATTGCTCCCAAGACAGAGCTTAGTTGAGAGTGCTTCCCGGGTCTAATTTGACGGAATCGTTAGTTGACCAGACCACGAAATCTCCTACCAACCCCCCGCACCGTCACGTTTCGCAGGGGGATCGCGTGCCGAGAGTACAACGATAATAACAATAAACTTGCGGATAACAACTACAGAAATAGCAATATAATGTCCGCCCGCCCGACATCGTTGTCCCCGGCCACGGCATCATCCCTGCTCCCGGCCAGAGCCAATTTCGGATTACTCAACTGGCTCATCAGTTGGCTGTTGCTGTCGATGGCGCTGCTTAGAGGTGAGACCGTACCCTCCTCTCGGCCCGCACTTTTTAATTAAATAATCCAATTTATTTTCATTTAATTTCAAATTAAATGTAATTTGTTGTGCGCCAAGCGCTGGCTGCTCTAATTGTTGGGTCCTCAATCTCCACCCTCCAGTATCACATCGCTCCTCCTCCTCCTCCTCCAGCCCACCAAAACATTTTCCTCTGTCGCCCTGGATTTCCCTTCCAATTTCCGGGAGTGGAAGCGAGCACAAAGGAGAGAGTTTGCCAATTGAAATTCCTTAATTTTTGTGCTGAGAATTTTAATTCAACTTTTGGGTAGACAGAGGGAAAGTTTCCCCTTTTTTGTTTTTTGTGACAAGTCAAAAGGTGAAAGCATTTAATGTGTGACCCTCGGAAGGGAGGGTGTTAGGGTGTTGGTGGCTGGCAAACACACAACATGGCCTAGCCCTGTTTCTAATACGAAAGTTAGTCCTGGGTCCGTGTCCTACAGCCGTCAAGGTTGGTGCAGCAATCATTTGAAGAGTTGCGGCTGCTGTCTGAGAATGAATGGCAGACCATGCAGCGCTCAGCACTTGTGGCAGATAGAGAAAGACACAGATAGAGTGTGTGTGTGTGTGTGTGTGTGTGTGTGTGTGCAACGGCATGATATGCGTGGCACACATTTTTATATAATACACTCTGCTACATTGGGGCAGAAGAATCTCACTTTCAATGCATCACCAGTAGCAGTGCCAGTACCAGTACCAGCAGCAGATAGAAATGTGAAAATGGAAAAAACAAAAACTAACGAGCGGCAGACACTTGGAAAATGCTGTTGATGCTTGGTCAGGGTCGTTGCAGCTCCCTCCACTCCTCCACACTCCTGCTGCCCTCTCATGCTGTGTTGCATGTGGCAGTTGACACAAGAAACTGTTGCCATTGGGTTTTGGCCTCTGGCTTTTGGTTTCAGTGTTTGCTGCATTTTGCTTTCAGTATTCCATTCCATTCCATTCCATTCCTTTTACTCTCTCTCTCTCTATATTGCTGTGGTTTTGTTTGTCCAGTCCAGAAAGGAAACAAGCCATCAGCATGCATTTTCACATAATTTTCCATCATTTTCCATGGCAATTGTTCTTGGTCTCGACTCGTTTCGTCTTTCGTTTTATAATTTTCGAATGAAATACTCGTACTTTCAAAATGCAATTCACTTTTGCGCAAATTGTTTCATTTCCTTTCCTTTGACTTGCTCTCCGTCTGGCATTTCATTTGGCTAAAAGCTACTTGAAGCTGGGCTAAGCGCAGACAAACAGAATTCCCTCATTCTGGCATTTGAGGACGCCTGCAGGAGGGCCGGGACTTTCTGCAAAAAGGCAAAAGCAATCAAAGCAAACTCCATGAGCATCTTCCTTGAGGCTCTTGTCTTTCCAGCTCTCTGCTTATGCAATTAAAAATGTATTTGCTTAATGGACGAGGCGGTGAGAGCGACACTCCAGATACTTGGCTGTCACATGTCACATGTCAGAATCGAATCGTAGCGGCACAATTAATCAATGATATAGGGCCAACAATAAACAGAGAGACCAAAACAATCTGTTCAAAAAGACAGAGCGGTATTCAGACCAGAAATGCCGTCCACTTCAGAGTCTCCACATGCTGCAAAAATATTAAAAAATTGAATGGGGACATGGCGTGGAGCATTCCAAGCGATAGAAACGTTTTTCCCCGATCGATATATGTTTGTCAGATACTTTTTCACCTCTTAATTGATGGGTAAAAACCTGATAAATAAATGCGCATATTTCCCCTTAATGAATTCATAAAATCCACCGCTCGTGTCCCCTCGTGCGGTCCCGTGATGTTTGGTTTTCTGGTTTATTAATAAATAAATTTCGTACTTGCGGTTTGCAGTATGCAAAATTGCAGTTATTTGCACAGCTGTTTGCCATTGAAAGGCAAACAAACGGCTTTACCTCCACCTTTACTCTATTTTTTATATCACGTACTACTCGCATGTAATGCTGTATAGATTGTTTTTTTCTTTCCTGCGACGCGGCAAAAATATTTTTGCAAATATTTTCAACACAACCATGAAAATTTGTATTGTTAAAGCAATAATGGGAGACGTGATTTCCAGTTGAGTCCAGTTAATGCAATCGCAATTCAGCGGTATTATTAAAAAATCAAAGAGAAAAATGCAGGAGAATGCCGCGGACTCCCTTTATGCTCTTGCAGACCAATATTTCGATTGGATTTAGTTTGCCCTAAAGGTTCCGACTTGTATGCTTACTCCTCATGAAGTGTAAAACTTAACGCAGGCACAGAATGATGATGATCAGAAATACATATATCATGTGGTAAAAGGGATAATTAATTGTAAAAAAGAGAGGAAGAATGTGGCAGCAAGAAAGAGATGGAGAGTGCTGTGCTTTGGGCTTGGCTTCGCCTGCGGCCCTTGGCAATCAGTGGGGCACATCATTCAGCGGTGTCAGACTGATGAATGAAGCCACGCATTGGCCCAGACAAGTGCCAGGCATCACGCACACGCTCACACTTCTGCGCGCCCACTTTCGCCCATAAATACAGTCAAATCGATGAGTTCGCTCAAGGCGCCCAAAGTATGCAAAGCACATACTCAACAGCGAACGGAGGAGAGGAAAGGGCGAGGGAGGAGCTGAGATCTATTTGCCGTGGGGCCCAGGTTATTCACACAAACTTGCAGGCGAGCGAGTCCCAGGAGCCGACGGGGCCTGGCTTCAAGGCCAACGCACATTATCAATAAGGCGTGGGCAGCAGACCTGATTTCTTCTCCGTATATTTACACATACAGATACAAGGCAGAGATACTCGAGTACACACAGATATATTTTATTCCCGCAAGATGCTTGAAGAAACAAACTTTGTGATGTTGATGTTGATTTTAATGGCATATGGTTTCACTGGAATTTGCGTTGAATGATGAATGTCGGGTTAGAAGCTCAACCGGAAACGGGATGGAGTGGCTGGATGGGTGTCTGTGCCAGAGACAACCAACCATTCATCATATCATTTGGTATTTCCTCACAGTATTGAAATCTTGAGCTTGCACTTCCTTTGAGGGTCTTTTGGTGTTATTTAAATATTTTGGCTTAGCTTTGGGTAGATACAAATCTGCATTAGTAAACCGAAAGTTTCGTCGTTTTAAGTTTTCATCTGCTCACAGGTCAGAATGTAAGCATTTCTTTACTGCCGCTGCTTTCGCAACACTTATGGATCTGACATTTATATGACAGCTACGGCTTGTGACCCAGGCATATGCAGTGGATGGTTGCTTCCGTTTCCTCTGCGCCCATCCCTGAGTGTGGGGGCGGTCGTGTTTTTGTTTTGTTCTGTACGTCAAAAGAAAAACTGAAAATTGTTTCTATTTTTTTTTTGTATTTTCATAGAATAATGGAGAGCGGGTGAGGGAGCAGGAATGGGGGCAGCGGCACGTGCGTATGTGTGTGGATATTATTTTTTGACTCACTTGGCACACAACTTGCACACAGACACAAAACGAAACCATTTCGGTCACGTACCAGAGAGACGGAAAAACAGAAATTTATGCATTTGATTTCAACTAATTTTCACAGTCCAAGCGTGGCTCGAGAATTGTTTTGTTTACTGTCGGCCAAATTAGATGCTGTGCAATCATAAATTAGCCCGAAACTAGAGCAGTTCGGTGGAAGCGCCTCCTCTACCCAATATCCATTGTGTGGTCGCTCTTGGTGTGGGCTCTCTCCTCCCGGCTTTACGACCTTTCAAACAGCCTTGAGCCTGGGCGTGGCTATTAAAAAGCACTCCACCAGCGGGGGCCGAGCAGCTGGTCTGAGTCCCAGCTCGATTTTAAAGCCTTTAGCCAAAAGTGGCGACCCAAATTGAACCAAAACACACAGAGACAGACACAGACACAGAGACACTGACAGGCACACACAGACAGATGCGGGCAGACAAACAGATACTCGTACGGGCACTCGACACGCAGATAGAGACAGACAAGTGTCGTAAAATGGATATTGTCGCTTTTAGTTTCTTGGGTAAAACCAAAAGAGGTAAGTTGTACGAAGGGGTGTCGTCCTGTCGATAAATCCACAGGAGCAACATAAACCAGTTGCGCGGCTCTAAAAATCGTATATGCCCCAATGATTCTCCAAGTAAAATTCACTTTTATTAACACTGGGACTCCGCCACACGTGCCAGGGACCAAGTTCTCGTTGCTGTTGCTGTTGCATGCCACGGGGCGTGCTGGTAACCTACATGAGATGTTGCTTTGAGCCGACTTTCCTCGAGCTTGTCTGAGCCGTTTTTATTAAAAATTCCACAGAAAAACAAGGAAAAGAGGGGCAAGCCAAGGGGCCCGGCAGTGGCTGGAGCTGGAGTTGAGGAAAGATGTGTCGCAGTCGCTAGAGATGGAGCTGCAGATGGGGGAGATGCCGAAATAAGCATGTTTAAGGCCTCCAACTAGCAGGAAACAACCAACAATTGTCTATGCTGTTGCTGCTGTGTGTCGCCTCCCCTCCGTACGCTTCCTTGATGTAGCAGTTTTATTGCTCTGTCATTCCGAAATATTTCACACAGACACATCAGCGCCAGCGACAGTGGCAACAAAGGGTGGCCTCCCATAGCTGAGTCGCATTCGTTCCTTATCCTTTCCTTTGCCACTGCCTTTTTCGGTGTTACCTCTTACGGGAGTTGTGTATTTCGGGCATCTGCGGTGCACAGTAAAGATCCTACGCCTTTTTATTTCAATGATTTTATTCAACATTTATAGAGAAGTCCTTTTAACTTAATTATGAAACAACTTGCTGAGCCATGCTTTTATTTACCTTTCAGGCAAATTGTTGCGTGCTTGCGAGCTTGGGGATTTATGAAGTAAATGAAACCATGAAACCAAATGCCTTCGATATTTGTATTTACTTCATAATCAAAACAGCTGTCAATGTTGGCAGAGAAAAGTGATTTATTTTCAAACCGTCTTCATTTGCGGACAGTTTTATTTATTATTGTGTATATTT